CAGATGCTTGAAATTTTAGCACAATCTTTGCTTAGGCATGCCATGCCATATGGTGGGATTCATTTTTGTACAAATCGGATGTCAACTTCCTGTTTATCCGTGCATCTGTCCATACCATACATAACAAATTTTGGTCGTAGTTTTCTCAGCAACTACTCATTGCAGATGCTTGCAATTTTAGCACAATCTTGTTTAGACATGCCATATGTTGGGATTAATTTTTTACTAATCCAATGTCAATTTCCTGATCATCACTGTGTTTGTCCGTAACTGAACTTGTGTATTCACATCAGAGCGGGGGTATTATTAGTGAGCATTGGCTCACAGACTTCTTGTTTTTGACTCTGAACAATTGGCTGAAATATCTTTTCTTTCTGGACAACCAACACATCATTCAACTTGACATTTTCTCATTTATTTTTGAATTTACAATATACAATTACAAAAATCCCCATGATAATAGTACCCATTAATCCAAGGAAAATATATACCCATGTCGGCCAACCATTTTCAAGGACAGGAATATCTTGTACACTCTTAATTTCATGAATTAATTTATGCATGGGAATCTTTTTAACATCTTTCAATTTCTTTGGTAAATTACTAAAAGTGAAATTTGGAAATGTGGAATGAAAAGGTTTCCATAATTTTATCGAAGTTAAATTATAACTGTGCAGGAATTCATCTGTTGGGAGTTTCATATCATAATTACTTTCACTTTGAAAATACGGTGGAAGAGTCAAATAGTCAGAATTGGCGGTGCATGACATTTGTAATTGCAAAATTTGTATAGGGGGGTTTATTATCATTGACCGAGTTCCTTTTTGACGCCCGTTCTCACAAAATATTTCTAAATTTAATTTCTTTTGAGTAGTATAATCCATTTCCCGTCTGCAACATAGCATGCTGATGGTAAAGTAGTATATAATTTCACAACAACTCGACAGTATGATTGGATATTTGCTTCATTTTGTAAAAAACAGTGCAATGACACATAATCTTGATAAATTAGTTTTGTAGGTAGGACTCTTCACGAAGCAGTATCCAATGATAGGCTGAGAACATTTTTCAAATTCATTATTAGATATCATTACATGACTAGTCCTCTGAGAGTTTATTGCTATAATTTCTGTTTCCATTTCATAATGAGACACCATTGAATTTCTTGAATTTGTTTCAATAAGATTCTTTTGTGCATTTTCATGAGCAACAATTGGTGAATTATATATTGTGAAAATTTCAAACTTTTCACCCTCATTTATTAAGGGGATCGATATTATTACGTATATATGGTCTCCTTGCAACGTTGCTGTGTATATTAATAATTTATAAAATGACCACAAATCTTTTTCTGGATCAGCAGGTAATTTCATTTTATTGGGAAGTTTATTTTTGATTTCAATCAGTATTTTCTTGAGTTTGATTGGTGTTATAATATCTGGAGATAAATGACCCAACGAGAGCATGTTTAATTGTAACATTAAATGATTTAAATATTGTTTACCATCATAGGTCATATCTTTAATTTCATTCAATGCCGCATTTATTCGTAAATATGATTGGGTGAAATGGTCAAGCTGTAGAATTTCTTTTTCAATTGTTGTTGAAAAATTATTCAGTTTCTTTGTTAAAACTGATAACGATTCTAAAATGTCATTAATTGCATGCCAGTTCTCCTTTATTTCAAATCGCGAAATGTTCGTTTGTTTTTGTTTATTTGTATGTTGTTTAACGTCCCTCTCGAGAATTTTTCACTCATATGGAGACGCCACCACTTGCCGGTGGAGAGCTGCAAATTTTGTCCTATACTTGGCACTTACGGCCATTGAGCAGTGAGGGATCTTTTTCGTGTCAGCACCTACTGCGACACTCGACCTCGGTTTATACGGTCTCATCCGAAGGACCGGTCTCCACGTCCCACAGTGGGATTCGAACCCGCGACGTAAGGATCAACTCCTTACTCCGCGACTCTAGAGCAGGCGCTCTAACCACTGCGCCACGAGGGCGACAACTCGCGAAATGTTTAGAATTGTTAAGCTCTTTTGTAAGACGTGAGTAATCTTTCTTTAATTATTCATTAGACCCCCGTTGGCTTGAATCGCTTGAATGTCATCTTCGCTTACCGTGCCAAACAAAAAGCGTAATGCTTTTCTTATTATCGTTATTATCGGAATAAGAGACCGTTTTTCTCTAGTCACATTTTGTAAAGGTTCTATTGCCAGAAACGCACTTTACAATTCATTCTGAGATTCTTGTACACGAATAATCTCTTGATTTAAACCTTTAATTGAGTTGAAAAACCGTCTTTCTTGTGAAGGTTGATGAAAGAAAATAAGGGGAACAGTAACTTTTTTGATTTCCTTCAGACCCTCGTAAATATTGTTTATGAAAGAGTTAAATGATTTTAGGTCAATAGCCATTTACTTCTTGTAGTTGTTATCTCTCGTATTTTTTTCAGAAAGTACATTTTCTCTTACAAGAGTTGTGTTTGTTGTACCAGAAAAGATAAGAGTAAGTAACAAAAGCCCAATTGGATTCTTCATTCTACAACAACACCATTTGTATAAGTCTCATATTATTTTCTAGGCAAGATTTTTGTCATCTTATTGTCATACTCAGACACATTACTTAGTGTAATCCTAGATTTCATTCTTTTAAAATTCATTTCAACCTCATTAGTCTACCGTTTATAATTACTAGTTCAGAAAATTTATCCTGATATGTCATACCCAGGCACGCTACTTACTGTAGCACAAGTGTTTAATAATTATACATGTATGTCATACCCAGACACGCTATTTACTGTAGCACTAATGTTTAATAATTATACATGTATGTCATACCCAGACACGCTATTTACTGTAGCAGTAATGTTTATTAATTATACATGTATGTCATACCCAAACACGCTATTTACTGTAGCACTAATGTTTAATAATTATACATGTATGTCATACCCAGACACGCTATTTACTGTAGCACTAATGTTTAATAATTATACATGTATGTCACACCCAGACACACTACTTATTGTACTAGTGTTTAATAATTATACATGTATGTCATACCCAGACACGCTATTTACTGTAGCAGTAGTGTTTAATAATTATACATGTATGTCACACCCAGACACGCTATTTACTGTAGCACTAGTGTTTAATAATTATACATTTATGTCACACCCAGACACGCTATTTACTGTAGCACTAGTGTTTAATAATTATACATTTATGTCACACCCAGACACGCTATTTACTGTAGCAGTAGTGTTTAATAATTATACATGTATGTCATACCCAGACACGCTACGTACTGTAGCACTAGCGTTGTTTAATCAATTGTTCTGATGATATTCATATTGTAATGAGTAATACAATGGGTCTATACCTTCCAAACACTGAGGTGAGACTAATGTCAAATAATAAGGAGGCCGCCATGATAGTTACTAATTTAATAATAGAACAGCTAACATACAAAACAAAGACGGATAACTTCCAGATATAAAATAAACACATCTTAGGTATGTGACATCCCCCTTTCTCTAAACTGAAAATTATTATGCATTAATTAAAGCTTAGGAGGATAATAAAATTGAATGATGGTATGTTGCAACCACTATTGAAATAATGACCACTATTGAAATAATTATTTCAATAGTGGTTGAGAATGCATTTCAAAACCAAACACAGCTTGTAACCACTATTGAAATAATGTTCACTATTGAAATAATTATTTCAATAGTGGTTGAGAGTGCATTTCAAAACCAAACACAGCTTGTAACTACTATTGAAATAACGTTCACTATTGAAACAACTATTTCAATAGTGGTTAAGAGAGCATTTCAAAGCCTAAACCAAGTTGTCATCACTATTGAAATAACGGTCACTACTGATGTACACTTATACTTAGTTTTCCCAAATAGTTGATTTTAATGTATTGACAAGAAACGTGTGATTTACTGTCCATATTAGTAGTGTGGGCAAGCCCAAGAATATAAGCGAAAATTTACTTCTATTCTATATCCTTTTGATAAAAATTAATCTTTTTTTTCATCAGAAAGTTTGTACATATATTAGATATCAATAGATGTCTTCTGTCTTCTTTTTAATGTAGATATTCTAATTTTACAACTATCCGTATTTATAATTTTTTACTTTCCCCAATTAATAACAAAGATGAAAATTATATAACACAATTACTTAAAATTACTAGATCAGTTAAATCACAGATATCCGTGTATTAATAGTATTTCTGGACAAAAATTGAAACATAAAATTACATATCATATTTAAACTCAATAAATTAATTTTATTATGTTGGAAAACATAATGAAGAATTTCTCCTTATATTTTTTCCAATATTGGGGTTATTTCAATGAGGGTTGCAATTTGGTTTTTATATTGAAATCATTGTCAGCAACTATTGAAAAAATGATTCCAATCACTATTGAAATCTTTATTTCAATAGTGAACGTTATTTCAATAGTGGTTACAAGCTGTCTGGTTTTGAAATGCACTCTCAACCACTTTTGAAATAATTATTTCAATAGCGAACATTATTTCAATAGTGGTTACAAGCTGTGTTTGGTTTTGAAATGTACTGTCAACCACTATTGAAATAATTATTTCAATAGTGGTCGTTATTTCAATAGTGGTTACAAGCTGTGTCTGGTTTTGAAATGCACTCTCAACCACTATTGAAATAATTATTTCAATAGTGAACATTATTTCAATAGTGGTTACAAGCTGTGTTTGGTTTTGAAATGCATTCTCAACCACTATTGAAATAATTATTTCAATAGTGGTCGTTATTTCAATAGTGCATGCAATGGTATTTAGAAAAAAATATGGACATAACAGTTGACTTCAAATTTAAATTCAAACAATGAAAATTGACTAGAGATTACAAATGACTAGAAAATTAGGGATAAAATTTACAAAACAATAAATTTCCTACAGCTCTCTTAAGTCTTTTCTCAACAATACAAAGAATTAACCAAGTCATTCAACATAATCATTTAGCCTTTTTGGTGGCTTCACTTCTCTTCCAGAGCGCGTACAATGAGGTGGTACCGGTTGGATGTTCGTTTTGGCAGTGTTACGAATGTCCATGTCACGCTCATCTAAATGGTCATGTACAGTTTCAGGATTAACACATGAATATTCAATGCGATTATCATTTCCATTAGCCTGAGTTTGAGCAGCACGATAACGAGTTGTCCGTAAATGTCTGCGGTTTCGTCTCAACTTCCTTCCGTCTGATGCTTGAACAACGTACGATCTAGGTGAAGAGTGACGTTCAAGAACTTCTCCAGGTTTCCAACTTCCTTCTGTGTATATGAATACCGGGTCGCCAGCTCTAAGAGGTTCCAACCCTTGTCCTGCGTGCTTGTCATAATGGATCTTGGTTTTCAGTTGGCGATTTTTTAGCATCGATTTGATTTCTTTGGTGTCCATTCCAAGTGGCTTTAATAATGGTGCAGAGGTTGGTAGTGATGTTTTCAGTCGCCGGTTAAGGAAAAGTTGTGCTGGTGATAATCCAATGTCCAAAGGAGTGTTTCGATAGTCCAGTAGAGCTTTGAATGGGTCTGTAGACTTCATGATGAGCCTTTTCACTGTCTGTACCATCCGTTCAGCCTGTCCATTTGATTGGGCAAAGTGTGGACCGCTTGTGACATGTTTGAATCCAAACTCCGTCGAGAAAGCTTTGAAATCCATAGATGAGAACTGGGGTCCGTTATCGGATATTATTTCATCAATGAACCCGTATCTTGAAATAAGTCCTTTCAAGCAGGTGATAGTTGTTTTGCTTGATAAGTTGTCTAGCTTTATTACTTCAGGCCATTTCGAGAAGTAGTCAACAACAAGCAGGTAATGGTGATTTTCATATTCAAACAGATCAGCAGCAATTCTTGACCAAGGGTCGGTCAGGTATGTCAGGTACCAGCATAGGCTCCTTGGCATTGATATTCTGATGTTGTGCGCATAGTCCACAAGACTTGACACGGTCCTCAATGTCCGCTGACATCCCTATCCAGAATAGAACATCTCTGGCATGAGCTTTGCATTTGACTATGCCAAGATGTGATTCGTGAATTTTATCCAGCATTGCATTCTGGAGTGATTTTGGTACAATTAGTTTACTTGACTTGTAGAGAAGTCCATCCATGACAGATAATTCATCTCTAAATGTCCAATAAGGTCTTAACTTGTGAGAAACATCACATTTCTCCTTCGGCCATCCATCCAATATGGCGTTTTGCAGATCCTGGAGATGATCATCCTTTGAGGTTTCCTTCTGGAATTTTTCATACATATCCTGGGAAATCGGTAAATGAGAAATTAGATGAATCTCATTAACGTTGATATCAGGTACGAGTACTTCTTTGGTCTCAGGTAAGAACGATCTGCTAAGATGGTCCGCCAGAAACATCTCCTTTCCCGGTTTGTATCTTACTTCGAGATCATATTTCTCTAGTGAGATCAAGAGTCGTTGAAGTCTTGGTGGTGTCTGATGCAGTGGTTTGTGGAAAATTGACTGCAAAGGTTTGTGGTCAGTTTCTATGAGCACTTGCCGTCCATAAACATATTCGTGAAATTTGTTGCATCCATATACGATAGCAAGCGTTTCCTTCTCGATTTGAGAGTATTTCTGTTGTGTTGGTGTTAATGCTCTTGATGCGTAAGCAACTGGTCTCTGGTTTTGTATCAGTACGGCTACTAGTCCTTTAGAGCTAGCATCCACACTTAGGGTAAGAGGCTTGTTTTGGTCATAGTACTGTAAAATCGGTGCATTGGTAGCCATCTCCTTTAGTTTCTTAAAGCTGGTTTCTTTTTGTTCATCCCAATGCCAATCAGTGTCTTTTTCAAGCAATGTTCTAAGTGGTGCGCTGACTGAAGATAACCGAGGCAAGAACTTGCTTAGGTATTGAATAAAACTCATGAAAGTTTGGAGTTCCTTCAGACAGGTAGGTTTTAGCATGTTGTTGACAGTTCGGACTTTTTCTGGGTCAGGTTTGATTCCTTCAGCTGTAAGTCGGTGTCCAACATAAGTGACTTCTGATTTTCTAAACTCACATTTTTCTGTTCTGAGTTTCAGGTTGTACTCTTTTGCTCTCTCCAGAACTTTCTTTAGTCTTGTATCATGCTCTTCTTGATTGGTTCCCCACATCAGGATGTCATCAATGATTGCTTCTGCTCCGTCAATATCAGAAACCATTTGCGAGATTACTTTCTGAAAAACTTCTGGCGCAGACTTGATCCCAAAAGGTAAACGTGTAAATCTATATCTGCCAAAGGGAGTGTTAAATGTACATAATTTCGAGCTATTGTCATCCAGTCTTAGCTGCCAGAATCCACTAGTAGCGTCGAGTTTCGAAAATACTCTTGCATCTGGCATCTGTAATATAACTTCCTCCACAGTTTTCAGTGGGTAGTGCTCACGAAGGATTGCCTTGTTCAGGTCTCTTGGATCGATGCAAATTCTGATTTTGCCATTCGGTTTGATGACAGTGACCATCGAGTTTACCCAGTCAGTAGGTTCTTCTTGCTAGACCACAACACCCAGTTCAGTCATGCGATTTAGCTCTGCCTTGACTTTGTATTTGATAGCAATAGGGATTTTCCTGGGAGGATGAACTACAGGACTGATGGTCTTGTCAACTCCTATAGTGTGCATACCAGGTAAGCAACCTAGGCCTTTTGAACAGATGTCCATAACTCTTTACTATGTTTTCTGGAAGTAGTTCACTAGGGGTCAAGTTGTGAATGCGTTGTAACATTTGCATTTCCTGACAGGTCTTAGCTCCTAGAATAGCTTGCACATCACTTTTGACTATGTGAAAGTTCACACTAAAGTTTTGACCTCTATAATGACAGGTAAGAGAGGTGACACCCTTTTATGAAATGTCCGGAATAAGATTTCAGTGGAACTTCCTGTTTCTCGATCTGTGCTTCAGGACGTATAGCCTTCACTGTTGATATAGATATGACATTGCACTTGGCACCAGTGTCCAATTGAAACTTCACAGGAACGTTGTTGACTTGAATTGTTTCCGTCCACTCATCTACCGTAAGGAAGTTTACAGTTTCTAGTATAGCAATATAGAGTTCAGAATCACTTTCTGAGTCAGTGTCAACATCAACTGTGTTAAGTTTTCTTGGCTTTGGCTTTCGGGGCTCAGCTGCAGCAGACGACATGCATACAGAAACAAAGTGGTTTCTTTTCTTGCAGTTGTTACACGATTTTCCATACGCAGGGCATTTTTTCGGTTCATGGATTCCACCACAGTTTCTGCATGGTTGGTGTAAATGTGTGCTGTTTTTCTGACTTTGAGACGGTCCCTTGCTGAAATTTCCAGATTTCCCGCGCAAAATTGTGTATTTATGTTTCACAGACAAGGCATTGACTGCTTTGTCTTCACCTGCATGAGTCATACATTTCAGCTGAGGCTTTGATAGTTCATGTGTTCTTGCATAGTTTATAGCTTTTTCTAATGTCAGCTCTGAACCTTCATTGATACATTTTTCTCTCACCTTATGATCTTTCGTTCCAAAAACGATCGCATCCCGAATCATGCCGTCCGGTTCTTTGTAATCACAGTCTTTGACAAACAGTTTAAGATCAGTCAGGTATTCCTCAAACGTATCTGTTTCTTTCTGTACTCTGCTTAGGAATTTGTAACGAGAGTAGATTTTGTTTGATTTTGGTTTCACGTGTTTTTCAAACTTTTCATATAAAACGTCAAGTTTTTTTGCGTCATCTTCTGAAAGATTCCAAGTGGAATATATATCCCTACCTTTGTCACCAGTCCAAATCATTAGGTAATTGCATTTCTGTGCTTCAGAGGATTTTGTCAAGGGTCCAGCAAACCAAAATTGACAGTGTTGTTTAAATGATTTCCAAGCAGTATCTAGGTCAGTGGAATTCCATTCCATTTTCGGGCTAGCACCTTGTAATCCCTCCATAATGCTGATGATGAGTTAGCACGGATGTCCTTACAACTTTTTAGATTGTTTTCCGTGGCCGATGGCTTTACTTTAGGGCGATAGTCATCGATACTCCTGACACCATGTCAAATAATGAGGCCGCCATGATAGTTACTAATTTAATAATAGAACAGCTAACATACAAAACAAAGACGGATAACTTCCGGATATAAAATAAACACATCTTAGGTATGTGACAACTAGGACTAATGGTATAGTCCAGGAGCCTGTTCACCCCTGTTTGGACGGTATAGCCCTTTACTATATAAAAGGCTGCAGAGGCAGTATTTGTCTTTTGAAGTCAGAAGTCTGTATTGATAGGAAGCTTCTGAAGAAGAAAAGAAGGTAATTATTGAAGTAGCCATAGTTAGAGATGTTTGAAAGGCTAGGGTGGAAGTAGTAGCACTAGTGAAAAGTAAACCAGGGGATTGGGAGATACGAGGTGCAGTAATCCTGGATAAGGGTGAGACACCGAGTACTCTTAGAACTTGGATGTGGAACACAGTGCAAGGTGCCCAGCCACTTCTACATTTAACCCAGTAAGAAAGAACCTCAGTTTGTGTCACCACTGTAAGAAAATAGAACACGGGACAAGTAACCCAGTAAATCAACAATAGTCATTGTAAATAATAGTAATTCCCAGTGTTAATCATAGACTCAAGTAGAGCCAGAGGAAAATTTTATTCATACTTGTCTATATTAAGACCCTTTTCCCTTTGAAAACGAACCCATAGGTTACACGTTACATTTTGGTGGCAGCTGGTCAAGGGATAGGGCATATTTAATTGCTAGAATCTTTCAAATAAAGTGTTTATTCAACAGTTTGAACTGTGTTCTGTCACCGGGTTCTGGTGAACGCAGATCTGGTTTAAATACAAGGTACCGAGTTCTGTGTGCACTGAGTAGATACGTGAACCATAGTAAGATTTACCATAGTAGAGTACTTGGTATCTTTGTTTGGTTACTAGGTATAAAATAAATGAAGATGAGTGATCATGAGTCAGAACTTTGGGCGGATCTTGAAGAAAATGACGTTAGACGACAATTAAGAGATACTTTAGAAAAGTTAAAGTCTACGCCGAGCACATTTAATGTTAGTAAGCCCTCTGTTGTAACTGATTCAGGTGTAGATTTAAGGCAAAAGACTAGTGACGACAGCATAGATGAGTTGATGGGTAAAGTTGACATAAACCCTACCGCAAGAGCGAGTAATGTGAAAGGAGCTATGGGTGGATATGAGGAACATAAAACCCAAGGTTATGATTTCCATGTTCTTGGAAACAAAGGTATTTGGGGAAGAAGCGATGTTTAAAAAGTCGATGTACTCAGGGGTGTCACTGGCTGAATCTGAATATACCTATACACCTCGAATCTCAACTCCGCGAGTACACTGGAGTACGTTAGGTGTTAGTTCAATGTCAACACCCACAAGTGTTACATGGAGTCTTGCGAAGGACAGAGACCCTATGCCTGCTGTACCAAGTACGCCATTAGGTGCATCGTTACCAGTAAATGAAAGCAGTGCAAATTGTCCTACTAGTAACACTTTTGGAAAAACTGTGATGAAGCCTGCGACATTTGATGGTACTGGGTCCTGGATTGATTACAAAGCACATTTTGAGGCATGCAGTAGCATCAATATGTGGAATGACAGACAAAAGGGCTTGTACCTGGCAGCATCATTAAGAGGCCAAGCACAAACGGTTTTGGGGAACATGAAAACAGATAAT